CACACACCCCCCCCCCACCCCTTTCCCCTTTATAATAAAAAAGTAATTTTGGGAGAAATAAGGGGTGGGGGGGAGGAGCTCTCTTACCTTGCAGTGCTTTTATTTGTTGTGTTCCCTGTAATTCAAGTGCTGCTGGTGGCAAAAAAGGTGAGAATACTCGTTTCCCCTTAAAAGGATTATAAAATAAAATTATGGGCTAGATGTGAGTACTAAAAAGGCCCATTGGCTTTTATAACTAACTTAAACTTTTTTTTTACCAAAATAGGTTTCTTAACCAGCAATTCATCTCATTTCTTCATAACAAAAGCAAAAAAAAATGCTTTGTGTCCTTTGCTGTCTGAGCCTCCTATTGCTGCCTATGCCACCTGAGAGTTAATTCTTATTTGCAAAGCAGGATATTCACCATTCATTTTGCTCTATCACCTTGACCTTTTATCCATGCAGATTGCATTGGATAAGTTGTATATCTATGCTCAGTATAAGTATGGCCTAAAACAGTGAGACAGGCCTAATGTGGGTCATAGGCTGCTTCCACAGCAATTTTGTGACTCTAAGAGAGGTCTTTGTGTAAAATAGACTGTGAACTGTTGCTAAAATGGGGATTGGGGGGGGGGGGGTCTCCTACACCTGTGATTTAAATGAAAACCACTTGGATATGTCCCATGTGCCACATTAAGCACTACAGTTGACTAGCCACCTCTTCACATGGGCATTTTGCCCTGTTTTCCTACTTTGCTTTGAGGCAAGGATGGGGCTGGTCATGCACCATCACATAACACACAGTAGGTCCCACCCACTTTCTCCCATAGTCAAGGGAAGCTCTAAAAGACACTTTTTCCATAACTATGGGGAGGAAAGTGTTTTTTGGATAGCTCCAAGAGAGCTACCCACACTTTCCCTTCCATTTCCCCCATGTGATGGCAGAAAGGGCAGCAGGACAATGCACATTGCAATGCATTGCTGCCCTTTCTGCCATCTAATGGGGGGGGGGGGGGGGGGGGGGAGAGAGAGAGAGAGAGATGCCAAAGTAATGGGACAGCCCGAAAGGGCCATGTGAAAAGGTCCTAATTCCAGTACCGGCATCTAATCCTAGTCCATGGATGTCCTGTATGAACTAAATCCAAAATGATAGCCTTTTATTCATATGTCAGGTTTTGTTCCTTCTGCAATCCTTTGTAGCATCCAAAAACCCAATTTCCAGGTTTTGCCAGAAGAGAGGAACAGGCTTAATGGATGAAGCTAAAGAGAAAAAGGTGAAAAAGATGATCTCAAACAAGCCTTCTGGTCATCAGTGACAAGACCCTACTACATCCTGGATCTATGCGACACATCTCATTCTCTGTCTGCTTGTGTGTGTGTGTGTCTATCCAGCCTTCATCAAAGCTCATCTTTGCACACTATCATCCTTCTGAAAACGACATAAACTAGTTCTAACAGTTGCTTTGAGTCTTCTTTGTGGAGAGAAAAAGGGGGATATAAATTAACTATCAACTATCTTGTGGAATTAGTGAAAAGGAAGAAATAATTCTACAGTATTGCTAGCTGGAGCTAAAATAATGCTTTCTATGAAAGTACAATGCTCAAAAATCAAACTGGTAGTTTTTGTGATTTGCTTGCTTGCTTGTTTTGCCAACTAACACTGAAGCTTTCATTAACTTCTCTACACACAAGGATGAATTTTACACTTCAAGGGTGAAGTGGACATCTGAATTAATCCACTATAGCACCTATTTTTCTTTCTCTTCTTCTTTGAATTATGGAAGTAATTAGCTCTTTTGCCAAAGCAGATGAATCTGTTTGAGAAATGCAGCAATAAATGCTTTGCTTACAGCTTTAGTCAATTTCCCTGCATTACTGCTGCTAATTAAGCCACTGTTCTGCAGCACAACACCAGCATTTAGATTTCGAAGACTGGCACAGATGCGTCACTTCAGTTCATTTCAATGTGTTGCTTTTTTATTAAGAAACTGCAAAGAAGCCTAATTGCTTCATGGGGGAAAACCAAAACCCGACGGAGAATCAGAAACATATGCACACAATGGGTATCTTAGAACCCAACTTGTAGAATGTACTACTTTAAAGTACTGCAGCCATATCGGGAGAATACCATGGGTTTAAACCTTTTTTGAACTCAGCAAAGCCATCATCTTATGAATAAAAGGCTGGCTTCAAAAACACTGTCTGTGGGTTCTAAACATGTTCTGAGGCCAGGGCCTAAAAACATAACTTTGGGGGATTAAAGCTACCAAATTCCCTCAGGCACAATCTGGAGAGATAAAATTTTCCTTCAGTCTCACATTTGTAGCAGCACACTTACTTTAAACTCCAGTCTACTTCAGCATTTAGAAATTACATTTTAGACATTCTGAGAAAAGAGGTAGAAGGAGTTACCAAGGGAATGTAAAACAACAGACAGATTTAGCAAATTGTTTGGAGACAATTTTCAACCCCACTCTCTGCAATGCTAGAAATTTTAGGACTGAAGGAAAAATTGATCTGATAGAGCCCAGACTTATAAATTTATGAACTTATAAACAAGGTAAAAGAAGAAAGTGCATAAGCTGAGTTACAGGTAAACATTTTAAAAAACCAAGATTGATAACTGGCAAATAGAGCGAGAAAACATGGAGGCAGTGACAGACTTTGTATTTCTATGCTTGAAAATTACTGCAGATGCAAACTGCAGCCAGGAAATCAGAAGACATTTACTTCTTGGGAGAGCAATGACCAATCTCAATAAAATAGTGAAGAATAGAGACATCACACTGGCGACGAAGATCCGCATAGTTAAAGCCAATATTATTATTATTATTATTATTATTATTATTATT